CACTGTCGTCACTCCTCCTTTTATCCTTCCGGAGCTCCTCCGTGGGACTCGAGACCGGTGAGTGGCGCAGGTGTCATGCATTAGCATTTGCTCCCCCGGCCTCGCTCCATTCCCACGGCTCTCGGCCCCGCCCCTCTCGTCACAGTTATGTTGAGATCACAAGAAAATATTAAGTCGTGATCACGAGAAAAAATAAAAACTTTTGCTATGTCGAGATCACGAGAAATCAACTTTTGTTATGTTGAGATCACGAGAAAACAAAAAAGAAAAATATTAATAATCCATGGCCTCTTAGGACTTTGTAAGGAATGGCATAAAGGTGCGTGACTGTTCAAGTCTCAGTGTTTAGATCAGTGGGCTCATTAATGTGTCTTTGACCTTCACTGTGTATATTTTGATTATGCTGTGTTGTAAATAAAATACAAATAACTAAAGCCCTCATTATTTCAATCTCCTCACATTCTTTCTTACCTGCCTCAGTCACAGTCACACTGATGGGCCATTAGGGGAGGGCCCTTTGTCTCTCAGGTGTGAATCACTAATATTCATGGCCATTGTCACTCCCTCTCATACGCCTTTCTAACACAAAAATGTCTTACAAAAGTTAATCAATATATAGTTTTTTTGTGAATGATTGAGCAGGATGATTTTCACATCATTTTATAGTAAAAACTCTAGTCTATCACATCCAGTTCTCAAAAGTCTTGTGGACAAATGTTCTGTTTGTGTTTTATGGCCTTATTTCAGTGACTTAAAAAAATAGTTTTTAATAATAACCACGCATAAATGCTGTTTTCTCAAAAACACAAACATGTACATTCACAGGGATTAAAGTTTTTCGTCGTTATGATGGATTTCCTTCAATTGGAAAAAATGAGGGGAAAAGAAACATGTAGTGCATTGTTGTTCTGCCGGTGTTGTGTGGCATACCAAAAATCATCCCCGCCACGGCTGCAGCTTCTCACTGACTATGTTTACATGGACATCAGTAATCTAATTATGTACCTTATTCTAAATAAGCCAATATTATGATTATGGTGTTTACATGAGTTGCTTTTAGAATATTCCTTTCATGTTCCCATTTTACATGTTATAGTACATAGTTTGATTAATGGCACACGTCATTAGTCCCCACGTGACGCCATCTGATGTCCCCTCCGGAATTTCACATATAAACATATAATTCGTCTTCGTGATGATGCCATGTACAGTTTTGGGTGTTTCATTTTTAATTTTATGAAAGCTTAAAGTGCATTTTATTATTTGTACGTGCATACAGACGATGGCGGTGTTAAAGCTATTTTATTTGCCTTCAAATGGTTGACCACTGCCGTGTGTGTATCCTGTCGCAAAATGCAGCGAAAAGTCCTACACGAGGGTAATAATGCATGGACATCAGTAATCTAATTATTTACCTTATTCTAAATAAGCCAATATTATGATTATGGTGTTTACATGAGTTGCTTTTAGAATATTCCTTTCATGTTCCCATTTTACATGTTATAGTACATAGTTTGATTAATGGCACACGTCATTAGTCCCCACGTGACGCCATCTGATGTCCCCTCCGGAATTTCACATATAAACATATAATTCGTCTTCGTGATGATGCCATGTACAGTTTTGGGTGTTTCATTTTTAATTTTATGAAAGCTTAAAGTGCATTTTATTATTTGTACGTGCATACAGACGATGGCGGTGTTAAAGCTATTTTATTTGCCTTCAAATGGTTGACCACTGCCGTGTGTGTATCCTGTCGCAAAATGCAGCGAAAAGTCCTACACGACGGTAATAATGTGATTAAGGTGTTTACATGTCTACATGTGAGTACATTTACATGGACAACAATACTCCGATTTTAATACGATTAAGACAATACTCTGATTATCTACCATGTAAACAGAGATTTTTGATTACCTTAATCCGGCTAAAGTCATAATCGAAGTAAACAGAAAACGAATTAAGACATGTGGAGTATTCCTATTTTAGTCGCATTACTGAAGTGCAGAATAGACATGTAAACACCAGTTAAACTCTGCGGACCCGGATACGGGTCCAAAATGACGTTAAAAATGTTTATGCTTCACTTACATAACCTTCCTTATATGGTATCAGCCCATATATGGGTTCATTTGAAAGCTTGGAGTGTCTTCTTTACAAAGAATACCATTC